CTTGGCTGACACAAGCTGTGCAACTCGTCTGTACCAAGTGCAGCGTTTCCTCATGGTTCAGCCCCTTTTCTTCCTGATGCGGCCGAACAGTAGCATATCCTTCGCGAGAGTGCTATCTCACTTTTTTCATCATTAATTATTGTTACACATTTAATCATGCTGTACTGGAAGTATCCCCCCCGGATCTCTATCCTGACTATTACGGCGCTGGCAGCGTTCTCTTCTCTGTTTGCCTTTTACTACGCGTTATCTCGCGTCACGCCTACCTCCCTAGAACACCATTCGACACCGGAATCGCTTCTGTCGCGCGATGGCCCCAAAATCGCCAAAGTTTCGGTCGCGGCCAATAGGCTAGACAACAGCATGATCCACAGGGCATTACAATCACACCAGGTTCAGAACGAAATGCATGGTTATCATCACTACATTGCGACCAATCAAGCAGTCGGCGATCTCATTGAGAATGAGGCTGACAGGCGACCGCAAGGTGCCTGGACAAAACCAGCGTATCTTTTGTCATTGATCGTCGCGGAACTGGAAAAACCGGAGGATGAGAGGCTCGAATGGATATTGTACGTTGTTGTGACATCCTAAACTTCCAACTAGAAAGCTAACCCCAACCCCCCTAAGCTGGTTCGACGCCGACACAGTCGTTGTCAACCCTTCAACACCGTTAGAAGTGTTTCTCCCCCCAAAGTCAGACGAGGACTTGACGAGTGTTCATCTTCTGATCGCCGCAAACTGGGATGGACTCAATTCTGGAGCTTTCGCGCTCCGCGTCCATCCATGGTCAGTCTCTCTCTTGTCAGCTGTCCTCGCTTATCCCATATACATGTCTGGGAGGACCGGGAAGGATCGGTTTCGCGACCAGAGTGCATTTCAGTACCTGCTTCAAGACGACAAGTCCCCGTTGGCCAACTCATATACCAAGGGTAAAGAACACTGGGCCACTGTCCCGATGCGATGGTTCAACGCGCTCCCAGTCAACAACGCGTTCTCCAAGAACGGACAGGGCTGGCTTTTCGGCAAGAAAATGGAGGGAGCTCTTTTCGACAATGGCACAACAGAGATATACGACGATGGCAACGGCGGGAAAATCCAACCCTGGAAAATCATGCAGGGAGATATGATTGTTCACTTTGCCGGGACGACGGCCGGTGGCACGCGTGACAGTTGGATGGGGCCGTGGCTTGATAGGGTGGAAGCCTTGCTGCCAGAATGGAACAACGTCACAACACAACATCGGTTGAGGGACGAGACAGCGAAGTTCTGGTCTGAAACATCTGCTCGCATATCGTCTGAGAAGGCTATTGCAGATGCGAAGATGAAGCTGGATGCCGAGAAGAAAGCAGCAGCCGACAAGGCTGCTGAAGCCAAAAAAGCAGAAGAGGAAAGGAAGAAGGCGGAGGAAGAGAAGAAGAAGGCAGATGAAGAGAAGCAGCCTATGGATTGATGAATGGTCACGAGTAATGTTGTGGTGCTACACAAAATAATACCCATCCTATAGGAGGAGCATGAGAACACTAGTAGACGGGAAGAAGGCTTTCATAGTAACATATGTATAATCATGGGTGCCAAACCACAGCAATGTGTTGGAAGGGGTTCAGATTCACTTTCACAGCAGCTATCATGGAGGGTGACACCAAGGCCAACTAACGTACAGTGTCATCCTTTCCCATTGTGTTCGTCACTCATCAGTTGCGAGGCCTGTGATTTCCTGGCAAAGTTCGGAGGCAGGGCACACATTCACCTCGTGGCATTGATTACCAAGTGCACGGTCACTTTCATTATAAGTGGGTCTGGATACTAAGCTGATCCCACCAACTCATCGTGTCGATTCAGAACACTGAGGTCGGTTTCAACAAGTCCTGACATAATAGGAGTTATAGCCCAGAAGCATAATGACTCGGTACAAGTCCAGGCCCTCACTATTAGGGCGTATCATTCATCAGGCCATGATTATACGGCAGGGTCGATCCTTCAGTACATCGACAAAAGCTCACCTCAAACTTGCATATGAGCTCTATGAGCCATCCAGTTCGCGAGCCATAGGACATGACAGTCATCCTATCATCTTTTTACACGGCCTTTTTGGTTCAAAGAAGAACAACAGGAGCATCAGCAAGTGAGTGTGACTATAGAAGTTCTAGTGCTGATCCCTCCATCCCCTAGCGCACACGGCAGACTTTTACTCACATGGAATTGCTATTCTAGGGTGCTTGCTCGCGACCTTGGGCGGCCGGTCTTTGCTCTAGTTAGTCTTCAATAACCTCTAAAAAAACCTTCGGTAAGCGCTGATGTATGAAAAGGATCTACGGAATCATGGCGAGTCGCCGCATGACCGCCACCACGACTATACCTCTATGGCCTCGGACGTGGCAGGATTCATCATAGACCACAACCTGGATGAGCCCACGATCATTGGCCACTCAATGTTGGTTCTATCCGTCTTCGTCATGACATGATCGAAGTCCGAGACAGCTGAATGATGTTGATGTTGTATAGGGGCGCCAAGACTGCGATGGCACTTGCTCTGCGTTCACCGGATCTGGTGAGAAACATTATCTCAGTAGATAATGCTCCGGTCGATGCAGTCTTGGAAAGTGGATTCGGTAACTACGTCGAAGGCATGAAACGTATCGAAAGAGCTGGTGTCATGCGCCAAGCTGAGGCTGATGACATTTTAAAAAATCACGAAGAGGTAATATCTTTTCCAGACCCTCTACGTCACACCCACGTCTTTCTCTCAAAGTTCCGTAGCCTGCGGCCTTGTGGATGCTGACGTGGAATAGTCTTTGCCAGTTCGCCAATTCCTCCTTGCGAACTTGTATCGACCGCAGCCGAATAAGCCGCAACAATTTCGAGTTCCTCTTGATATCCTTGGTCGCTCCTTAGGGCATATGGCGGACTTCCCCTTCAAGAATCCGGAAGAAACTCGCTTTGAAAAGCCTGCGCTCTTCATCAGGGGCACAAGAAGCAAGTACGTAGCCGATGACGTCTTGCCACTTATCGGGCAATTCTTCCCACGGTTCAGATTAATAGACGTCGATGCTGGCCACTGGCTCATTTCAGAGAAACCGGAGGCATTCCGTGAAGGTGAGTATTTGCTGCTTCACATAGTCGAGACAGAATCTCTGGCTAACAATCTTCTAGCCGTCGTCGACTTCTTGAGTACCTCAAAGTAAGCACGATGAACAAATTGATCTATGTTAGGCTCGCATTCAAAAAGGATATTGGCCATAGCTTTTATTGCTCCAGCGGTACACCATCCACCTCTCGCATTCCTCCTGTGATGCCAATGAGATTGATGTGTCGTTTGATCACGTGTGGTATATTATACTGTGCTCAGACGCGAGGCAGCCGAGCTCAATAGAAATCCCCTTATTGTCGGCACGAAAGCATTCCATGACAATTGGGCACTCAGCGAGAATCACATGATCCACGCTTTCGTAATGCGCAGCTAACGAGTGTTTAAGCGTATGAAGTGCGCAAACACTTGCCGTACGGAATTGCGATCACGTCAAGATGAAGGCACAAGCACACACTGGCGAAATGTACTTCGAGTCTCTCACGATACGATGCCCCAGATTCTTGTTTTGTGACCGTTTACCATTTTTCGGTAACCTAGACCCGCAGCCGCCTGTATGGTACGCCATGTGCAACGACTGAAACAAATGCCGAAGCTGATTGTCGGCCAAAAAGAAGCCGGAGTCTTCCTGCTGCCGTTTCCGTCTCCGACCATGTCGTCATCATTCTTTACACGTCCTCAAGGACGCGTTCCTTGAACTCCCGCTCGATCTTCTGACCCTGCTCGTCGGTGACAGACTCGCCGTGGAGAGCCATAAGGGAGCCCAGATCGAACTTGGGGGACTTGAGAAGCTTCACCTTGCGGATATGGACCTAAAAAAAAGGTACTCATGTCAGAAAAACATCTCTGCACGGACAACGCCTGAGTGTCATAAACTTACGTTCTGGGGGGGGTAAATGCCCTGGGTAGACTTCTCGATTTCACGGCCAATGACCTCGGGGATGAGCTTGTTGGTGAGCTGGGTCAGGGTGCAGGTAGATGCCTCGCGCTGAATGATCTCAACCATCTTGCGGCGGATGGCGCGAATCTGAGAGGAAGCGGCGTAGGTGGTCTTCTTGACCTGGTTCGGCCTGCGGCGGGTGAAAGCAATGGCGAAGAGTCTGAGGAGGTAGTCGTCGGTGGTCTTGACTGTGACGTTGGCCTCGATGAGGGTCTGCCACTTGCGAACAAGAGAGCGAAGCTTGTCGGAGGTGAAGTCGAGGCCGTGGAAGTTGGTCAGGCAGTTCTTGCCCTGGATTTCGTCCACCCTAAGCTTACCTTGCGGAAAGCGTGGTCCTCGTCCTTCTGGAGGTCGGCGAGAGAAACCTCGAGGATGCGGCCCTTCAGCGCATCGTTGGCGTTCTTCAGACCGGTGGTGCGGTTGACAAGGGTCTTGCCGACGCTACGGAGTTCGAATGTTAGCGATGCGTTCCGTGATTCGACATGGGTTTTTGGGCCCCCAAGGCAGGCTTTCTCGGTAGCACTCACTCTCGGACGGCGAAGGGGGCAGGCGCCTGGATAAAGAAATCTTGTCAGTATTTTACAGGACGCGCACGAGTCGATCACGGGTGTGGTCTGGAAGTTCGCCTGACCTTGATCTGGTACCAATCCTTGCGAGAGAAGGGGTCGACAGTCTTCTTCTTGAGGCCCTTCTTGCCCTTGGACAATCTCTTGTTCCTGACAAACAGCATGCGTTAATGACCTGGTCGTTTCCAAATAGCTCGATCGCGCGTCTTACTTTCCAACAGCCATCTTGACGGTTTGTCGACTGGCGGATGAACGTTGTGTGGTTGTGAGAGGTTGATGGGAGTGGAGGGGTGAGTTTTCTCGCAAGGGGGATGAAATTCGTTCAGATTGTGTGGACGAATTTCTTAGCGAGCTGGATGTGGATGGTGGCGGGTGAGTAAGCCGACAGGGCATTACTACTGGTTCAAGGGCTGTGCAGTGGGTCACGCAGCCTCTACTGAGTCTCCGAAACTAACTCCCCGCTGTATGCATACGTGCGCATGTGTAGCGCCCCGTCCGACAGCGCTTTGCCCAGTACCCTCAGAGAGCCCGGCGCTACCACTATATCCCAACCATGACGAAGTCAAGCCGAAGCATGTCTCGGCGCTTCCGTAGAACACGATCCTTCCCCCTCCAGGCTATTCAATCTAAGGCAACGTGTGGTGTCAGAAAACTTGCACACGATCTTATCACGTGTTTTCAGTAGTGATATTGCGGGTCAGCCCAAAGCCTTACAAAGAATATGACGAACATGACATCTGCGTTAAAGGATTCAGCACGCGATTTGTCTCGTGCATCGCAATATGACAGCGACAGAAAGCCTTGTAGCTTCTTAGAGGGGACTGATAGAAAGACCAAGCAAGGCGGGCATACTTCTCGCATGCCCAACACTTGATCGTGGAACTGGAAACCCTCTCAAGCGTAGGGGTTCATCTTGAACTACGTTACAGATATCTTGCGCCAACACAATAAGCCAACTCCAATACTCCACTCCCAAAATTCCAGTTCAGTCGACCGCCCTAGAAAAACACAACGCCTTCATCACGCGGAAAGCCAGACCAAATCGCAGCCATTGCATCGGTTGAAACGCTGTACAACGCCGTCAGTGCCTCCCCGACCGCCATGATGGAGTCTTCCACTTCTCAGGGCCATCGCTTAACCCGCACTGCTTCATGAGGTTGACACCTGGCATGAACGTGGACTGCAACATGATCATTTCCTGCCGTCCGCGGGCACAAAGGTTAATATCGTGCCTCATTCAAAATGAATCCCATCGTCTTTTGTACCGGTGTCGTCTTCGCCGTCCCAGGCGTCAAAATTTGGGAAACTGAAGTAACAATCGGAATCTGCGGTGTGACATATACCTAGTCAGTCAAAGCTTCATTTCAAAGTCACAATGCTTTCGGGGCGGGCGCAGAATTATCCTACTGACAAGAATGTAAAGTATCACTCATCTCCCTGCTTGCCCGGGAGGTCTGTGGCACCGCAATGATTGTCGGGCTACCCGTTGAGACTGTTGCTCCTCGACAGTCGATTCGCTGGGATGTGGGCTCCCGTGTGAAGTCTGCGGTCGGGCTGGAGACCACCACTCGTGTGAGTAGCTCGGTAGCCCTTTGCGAGGACTGCGGCGAAGCGAACGCCCCGCGACTTGCGTTGGACGTGGTGATCGAGGGCTCAGTGACACAAGACCGCAACCTCGGCCGCCGTGGGTGTTCCATACGTGGCGAAGAATCCCTTCGGCCCATTTCGAACATATCTTACGATACGAGTTGCTCGAGAAGCAAGCAAGCAATGTGAGAGCTTATTGCCAACTTAGGTGTCCAGAGAGAAGTTTCCGGGGCCTTTCTTATCATTGACAGTGGAAGATAACAACAAAGGTTGCAAGGCGGGATCCCATGTCGGTTATCTACACCCGTTCTGGCGCTTCTGTTCATCGTAGGGAAGGCATGGGCCAGACGACCGGTGCCTGATGAGATGGCCTGGATATGTGGCTTGCGTTGTATGGATCGGCGTGCCTTACCTTGGGCATGCACGCACCAGAATCTGCAGGCCCGGCGTCACCAATGCAGCTCTGCGGGGTTCGGCGGTCTACCGGTGAACATGACATCTGTGCCAGGCCAATCGTCACAACCGCACATGTGTAGAAATGTCAGCATGCCGGTCGCGGCGCCGCATTTCTGGGCTTGGGGATTGCCGTACACGTCACAATCGTTCCGCCCAGAACGTCCGTCACCCGGCCTTGGGAGGGTCAGCGTTCACATGCCCTGCCAATAAGTCCTAGTTCTCATGCAAACGGGATGCGCGATGTGGTAAGGGCTCTAACGACTTAAAAATTCATTCGGCCTAACGACACCGCAAATATGGATAGTAGGTGAGCCACATTATTGTGTGTCAGAAGCACGAATGAACGACCTCATGCTTGCTAGCCCGACTTGCAAACTACGAGTCGATGCCTGGTACGTTGATGGCAGCGACAAAGACCCATATGCACTCAGGCACACCGCCCACACGCCCACAAATGCATTATCTCTTCAAGCGGCTCAGTGATCAATGCTGGCAATTCATTTAGCAATAATGCCTTGGTTGCAAGGATTTTGCCCCATGGAGCGGGCTAGGAGTGGATGTGCAACTTACTCTTCCCACAGCCTGCCCTGCACAGCGCTTAGCTCCTCCTCCGTCATTCTCTTTCCTGCGGTGAAGTAACCTAGATGAGGGGGTCAGCACATGGACACAGCAAGCACTGCATGGTCGCCACTGCAACAAACCTGCGGTGATCTTGGCATCGATCTCAACTCTTGAATCCGCCGGAATCAAATCCTCTGGTAACTCCACACGCTCATGGATGGGGATCCTAGAATAGAATGTCTCGCGTCAGGTGGTTGGCTTTGGTGAAGAGGTGGCCGCTTTAACATACCCTTGACTGACAATCGCATCA